ACTGTGCCAACTGAATGATAAAAGAGATAACCACGTGATTACAGGACTTTCTGCTTCTCCAATCTATGCTGCACACCACTAACAGATTCTTCCTTAAACATGCCCTTTAGAGCAGTGCCTGGGGCCTTGGATCAATTTAATGGGTTGAGAACATCTTTTTTTTTTTAAAGAAGGAAAGATGAAAGAAAACAAGCATGCAGGGCAGAATATACTAGAGTGAATCTCCTCAATGACAGGCAAATATGCTTTGTGATTTTTGCTTTGGTTTCGACCTCTCTCTGTGCGTAGGCCTTACTGTGTTTGCATGTGTTGAGCTGGAAGGTAGAGAGTGGTTCTTAAGAAATACTTTTTGTGGTAAGAGTATTTCCTGCCAAAATAGGTTGGAGAGCCAGGCTTTTCTTTGCTAAGGGCTTTCTGTTGGCTGAAACAAAAGGATTTCCAGGTCCTCCCCCTTGGCTGGTAGAATTGATCTCCAAATCCACTCCCAGCCTCTTTGGCATGATGCTGTGGCCTATCTTAAAAAAAAACAAACAAACTTACTCTCCCCTAAACTCAGGCTAATCTCAGCATACTATTCCATTCCACTACATTCTTCACTCATAATGCTTCCAGCTTCTCGTTGTGGTTCCCACAGGCTCCTGTCCTTCAGGGACTGCTCACGTCCGTCTCATCTTGTCATTGAACCTATGGGGATCCCTGTCTTCTCTTTTCGCCTTTCCAGACTCTGCTGTTCATTTCCACACATTACCTCACTAAGTGTCCCCTCTGCATTGTCCTCTCCTGCTTCTTGTTCCCCTCCACTCATATCTCCATCCTTCTGGCAATGCTCTCACACCGGATCTGCCTCCCTCCTTCTGATTTGTCTCCTAACCTATAATCTCCTCATTGTCACTGGCTTCTTTCTTCTGTTTTGTCTTTAATGTCTATTCAGGTCTTCATATAGAAAAGGGTCAGACAATATTTGTCATTATGTGTGTGGCTTATTTCACTTAGCATTGGATCACTTAAGAACTTATTTCACTTAGCATATGGTTCAGTACCAAATTATTGTTCCCACTATGCAACCATAAAGTACAATACTTTGGCCATGAAACACATTATAACACAGATGTATCTGGAGGTCCATATGCTAAGTGAAATAAGTCATACACATAAGGATGAGCATTTTCTGATCCTTTTAATACAAAGACTAGAATATCGGGGGGGGGGGGGGGGAATATAAAAAGACAATGAGAAAATCATATGGTAGGTATAGTTGTGTAATCCACTACTTGTCTGTCGGTCCCCCCACCCCCACCCCACTACTGTAGTGGCTTGTGTGTTGCTGGAAACTATGCCACTGGTATTGCAACTGCCAGAAGGTCACCCAAAGTGAACAGGGTTCAACAGAGCTTCCAGACTAAAAGCAGACTACATAGAAGGAAAGGGCTGCCCACTTTGGAGGAAGTCGCTGCTGGAAACCGTTTGCATGGCATCAAAACATGGCCAGACACTGAAGGTATAATGAATGGAAGCAGAACATCGTTGGGGACAGTGCCAGAGGATGGGCCACTCAGATAGGAAGGCACGGGACATGTGTCTGAGGAGGAGCTGCTTTCTCACCATAGAGTCCACCTTGGTGACATGAGATGGGCAAAGCCTTAGGGATCTTCATTTGCTGATGGGGCACAACTCAAGGTAAGAAGAAACAGCTGCAAAAATGATGAATAATTGGAACTTGGAATGTAGAGAATGTGAATCTAGGGAAATTGGAAGTTGTAAAAAATGAAATGGAAAGTATAAAGATTGATATCCTAGGCTTAAGTGAGCTGAAATTGACTGATATTGGCCATTTTGAATCAGAAAATCATATGGTTTACTATGCTGGCAATGACACACTCAAGATAAATGGTGATGTATTCCTTGTAATCCAGGACATGTCAAGGTTAATCATGAAGTACAACGCTGTACAGGATAGGATTTTGTCTATCTGCCTCCAAGGAAGTCCAATAATGCAACTATTATTCAAATTTATGCACCAATCACAAATGCTCGTGATGAAGAAATTTAAGAATTCTACCAACTTCTTCAGTTGAAAATTGTCCAAAGAGGCAATCAAGATGCATGGATAATTATTGGTGATTGGAATGCAAAAGTTGGGAATAAAAAAGAAGGAATAGTATTGGAAAATATGGTCTTGGTAATAGAAAAGAAGCTGGAGATTGCATGATGGAATTGTGAAAATCAATAACTTGTTCATAGCAAATACCTTTTTTCAACAGCACAAACTGTGCTTAAACACAAAGACTTCTCCAGATGGAATACACAGAAATCAACTTGACTACATCTATGGGAAGAGATCATGGAGAAGCTCAATATCAGCAGCTAAAATCAGGATAGAGGTTGACTGTGGAGCAAACCATCAATTGCTCATATATACATTCAGGTTGAAGCTGTAGAAAATGAAAACAAATCCCCAAGAGCCAAAATCCTATGAGTCTATCCCACTGAATTTCAAGAACCTCTCAAAAACAGATTTGCTGCATTAAACACCAATGACAGAAGACCTGATGAGATGTGGGAGGACATCAAGAACATGGTCAAAGAAGAAAGCAAGAGATCATTAAAAGGTAGGCTTTTTAATTTCAGAATAGACTGTGAAACTGGATCTTAAGTGCAATGTAGCTAAAGCAAATGGAAAAAGTGGTCAAGTCAAAGAGCTGAAGAGAAAATTTTTAAGTATAGCTTGAGAATATAAAGTAAAATGTAATATGCAAAGACCTAGAGTTAGAAAGATTCTACAAGCAAAATATTAAATCAGGCAGGGAGCATTGAAAGAAGATGGAAAGAATACAGTTATGATACCAAAAAGAACTAATTGACATGCCACCACTTCAGGAGGTAGCATGAGCAAGAACCAATGGTGTTGAAGGAAGACGTTCAAGCTGCACTGACTGCATTAGCCCAAGACAAGCATTTGGAAACTGATAAAATACCAATGGAAATGGTTCAACAAGTTGATGAGGCACTGGAAGCACTTACTCATCTCTGCCAGGACATTTGGAAGACAGCTACTTGACCAACTGAGTGGAAGAGATCTATATTTGCATCCATTTTAAAGAAAGGTGACCCAGCAGAATGCTCAAAGTATAGAATAATATCACTGATATCACATGCAAGTAAAATTTTGCTGAATATCATCCAATAACAGTTGCAGCAGTAAATTGACAGGGAGTTGCCAGGGGTTCAGGCTAGATTCAGAAGAGGACATTGTTGATGTCAGATGGATCTAGGCTAAAAGCAGAGACTATCAGAAGGATGTTTGCTTGTGTTTTATTGACTATACCAAGGCATTTGACTATGTGGATCATAGCAAACTATGGATAACCTTGAGAAGAATAGGGATTCCAGAAACACTTCACTGTGCTTATGTAGAACTTGTACATGGATCAAGAGGCAATTTTGTGAACAGAACAAGGGAATACTTTGTGTTTAAAATAAAGAAAAAAGATGTGTGCCAGGGTTTTATCTGTGCACCATACTTATTCAATCTGTATGCTGAGCAAATAATCAGTGAAGCTGGCTTATATGAAGAAGAATGTGGCATCAGTATTGGAGGAAGGCTTATTAGCAACTTGCAATCCACAGATGACATAGCCTTGCTTGCTGGTAGTGAGGAGGACTTGAAGCACTTGCTGCTGATGATCAAGGATTACAGCCTTCAGTACATATTACAAAATAATGCAACCCCCAAAATCCTGAAAACTGGACCAATAGGTAACATCATGATAAAGAGAGAAAAGATTAAAATGTCAAATGCTTTGTCTTGCTTAGATTAATAATCAACACTCATGGAAGCAGCAGTGAAGAGATCCTAGGATGCATTGTTACTCAACGATGGATAAACCTGCTGCACAAGACCTCTTTAAAGTGTTGAAAAGCAAGGAGGTCACTTTGAGGACAAAGGTATGCCTGACCCAAGCCATAGTATTTTCAATTGGCTCATATGCATAGGGAAGTTGGACAGTGCATAAGGAAGGCATAAAAAGACTTAGTGCATTTGAATTATGATTTTGGAGAATATTGAAAGTACTGTGAAAAGAACAAACATATCTTCATGGAGAAATGACAGGAAGACCCTTTAGAGGCAAGAGTCATGAGACTTCATCTCATATAGTTTGGACATGTTATCAGGCGAGACCAGTCCCTGGAAAAGGACATCGTGCTTGATAAAGTAGAGGCACAGCAAAGATAAGAGGAAGAGCACTGTCAAGAAGGATTAGCACAGTGCTTACAGAGATGCTTACAGAGAATATAACTACAATTGTGAGGATGCTGCAAGATCAGACAAAATTTCATTTCATTGTACACAGGGTCTCTATGATGGTACCTAACAACAACAACAACAACAACAACAACATCTTTTCGTGGTGTCCCTAGAATAAAAATCTAGAACGTGACCTACTCTGTGTCATACTCCCTATTTCCAATGGAGTCTTGATGTCAACTGTTGGTATTCTGTACCATCAGGTCAATTAAACGCATACAAACCTTATAGGATAGAGCAGAACTGTCCCAGAGGTGCTTCTAAGATGAAATACTTATGACAGCAGATCACCAGGTTGTGTTTCTCCTGTGGATCCATCCCATGGTGAGTTTTAAGTGCTGACCTTTCAGGTAGCAGTCAAGTGCTTAATCACAGAATCTTCAAGCTCCTTTGAGACCAATTATAACTACACAACAAAATTAAGTGTCCAACCAATGCAAAACTAAGATTTGTGGTCCTTGTGGAATAAGAATTTGAATGTCCTGCATGGAATCAAATTCTGGCTGTCAGCTTTGCTCTTTTAATTGTGCATAAATTGTAATGACTACACAAAAAACGTGGGAGGAAATGCCCTTATCACTTATAGAGGGTGTGTTGGCAAACTTTTTATTAAACCAAATCTTAATTAGCAGAGACTCTGCAGAATGTGACAAGTGATTACCAACCCCTCTTTCTTGTTAATTTGTTTCCTTACCAAGCTGTTCTCCTAAATGCTGGCCTCTCTCAGTTGAGACAACCCGCTCATCTTCCATGTCACACTTGTTCCCAACCAGGATAACCTGGGCATTGTCCCAAGAGTATGTTTTGATTTGAGTTGACCTGAAAGAAAAAACAAAATGTACAAAACAATCAGAGAAAAGCAGCACAGCATGAACAAAGGAGAAGAAATATGTCCCACACACTATAATAGCAAAAACAGAAGCCCAAATTATTGAGATTTACAGTTCATTAGTTCAGTACAATCTCTTTCTTCATATCCTCATCAAGAATTGCACGAGTCCAGAATCAAGAACAACAGTACGGTAGTGCTGTGTTAATTAAAACTTCCTATCATATTGTTGAGAACAAGGCAGGTTGGAGCGGAAACCCAAAACCCATCTGTAGACAATGGGACATCCCCTCACAGAAGGGTCACAGGGAAGGCATGAGTCAACCAGGGCTCAGTATAGCACCAATGAACACACAATATTCCTCTGCTTCCTTGAGGCTTCCTCACCCCACTATCATGACCACAGCCCTGCCTT